TATGTTTGTGGAATCATTTACTGAAAAATGAATCTGAATTTTTCGATCTGTTACGATTATAAACTGAAGCAATATAAAAATGAGCCCATTAACTGAGTTTTAAACATCAGCATATCCGGTCATAGTCCGGTAATTACCTGCTAACAGAAACTCTGCTACACAATTCTTATTATTATTATTGAAATATGACCGGTAAGTTTCACATTTGTCCGGTAAAATAAATTCTGTCCGGACATTTGACCGGCGAGAAAAAATCCTAGCGGAAACCCTGATATACTGATATATATATATACACGCAGATTACGCAGACTCAAACCTCATCTTAGGCCCAAATGCGCTCCGCAGCCGTTGCGAGGTTCCGGCGCTAACAGTTCATGAGCGTGCTCCCCCGCCCCAACATGAGTGGCCAGCCTAAACAACAATAAGCGCTGCTTGGCAACCGTGTGTGGCGGCAAAGTACATAGACATTTTGACAGGAGAGATTTAGTTTTGCCGGTATTCAACATATTTTACCAGTCATAGTCCGGTAATTATTTACACTCTAAGAAGAGTCCTACACAACAGACATGGCGTCAAAAAGGAGTAATGTGTAGAAATATTTCGACCAGGTTAGTGAGTGCGGTGTAGAGGTCAAACTATGCCAAATTAAACTTATATATACATCAGAGGTCGCGTTAACCGAATATTTTCCGTCAATTTTTTCTAACAATGACTGAAATCTGAAAGCAGTCCGTCATTTTGACAGATTAGAACACAACTCGGAACAGCGCCAAAATGTCCACCAGCGGCCCTCATTATATTACATCCTTAGTGGCCAGGTCGACTGAGGGTGATCTACTCTACTGTAGTCTGTAACTATTATTTAGTCCTTCACACCCCTGTCCAGTTGGTGGCGAGTGTGTGTATATTAAGTAGCTATTGTCTAGTCTTGTTTTTGACCTCGTTGTTTAACCGGCTTTAGCAATCGCAAAATGTCACGGCAGCTGATCGTCCGAAGCTTTTTTAATAAGCCCAGTAATTGTGATGGTGTGGATAAACGAGGTGAAAGAGGGATTGATGCGGTGGAGGATGAAGGACAAGCCAGTAAGACTAAAACTGACAACGTTCAGCCAGCGGCAGAGGGGCAACCAAGTGGCAAGGAGTTCAAGCGGGAGTACCGGGTTCAGTGGGAGTACCGGGTTCAGTGGGAGCAAGAGTTTAAGTGGCTGAGGAGGGAAGACGGCAAAATGTTCAGCGACATCTGTAGAAAAGCTAAGATGAGTAACGGATTCGTCCGAGGGTGCACGGCGATGCAGAAATCAGCATTCAGGCTACAGCAGGTCAATTGAGTTGTTCTTGTAAATGTTTTGTTCATATTCTGATTGTAATTGTCTCATTTAAAACGATGGCATTGTTCATATTTGCCTGTTTAGGCACAATGGTCGTGGTGTTTTTAGCGGCCTCTGCCCCCCTCTGCTGTCTGTCAGTGCAGGAACAAATAAATCATTCAAGTTCGTGTTGACATGAAAAGTGACCACTCTGTTCATCTTTTTTCTCCATGCCCTTAAAAGTTCTGTATGAATCATTAAAAAAAAATGAATGAATGAGCATTTGCTGCTCAGTACCCAAACATACATATTAAATATGTCTCATCTCATCATTAAAACATGAAAAATAAAATGACGGGTAATAATGGATTATGACGGAAATGTTACGATCCTGTCCGTCAAAATGACGGACAATGAAAAAGTCTAATGCAACCACTGATATACATGCTATACCTTGCTATACCCGCAACCTCCGTTCCAGCTGAGAGGGTCTTCTCTACAGCTGGCCTGATTGTGAATCGCCTCTGCACATGAAAGCTGTAGGCCTATAGCTGTCAAACTGTGATCACCAGTTCAATACATTTGACAAATTCGACTTGGTTCCTATACTTATTTGAACATGTATTTATTTATTTCCAAAAGTTATTGAAAAAAAATGTTTGTAAATTTTTTACCCATTTTTATTGTTTTTTATTTTTTATAGGATATGTACATTTTGGTTAACCATTTTTTGGGGGGTCGAATATTCGAATATACATTTGCTTTCAAATTCCCATCCCTAATATATATATATATATATATATATATATATATATATATATTTTACTTTTTAGTTCCGTTTCTATTTTTTGAGACGTTCATATTTTACGTTTGATTACTTTTTCAAACTAAGTGCAATGCCTTTCTTTTAACATGCTGCTGTCACGTACACATTTTAGGATTAATAAAGTGTATCTTATCTTGAGCTAAGTGTCGGAAACTTGCTGGACTTCATAACAGTAATTCAGAAATTAAGAGTTAAAAACCCTCTGATTTCATGCATTTCTTTATTACAGCACGGCATGTGTATTTGTTTAATCTCCCCCTAAAATACAAGTTCATTCTAGTATTTTAAACCTGTGATAAATCATGATTGATCACAGAATATATTTCTTTAATTGAAAGACTGATCCACACAAAAAACGGAGAGATCTAATGCATTTTTAATAGATTCTAAGGGAGCTAAATTGAATACTTGTAAAGACGACTTAAGGTCTGACGACACATGGCAGTGTTTGCAACAATGAAATGTGAAAAGTGCAGATGTTCCTGTACCCTGTTGGCCAGCGTCAGGAAGTTGACATATGGCGCAGCGGAGACAACGAGATCCAAAACCGCGGTGATGACGACTCGTTGACAATCGACAAACTGCACACGCAACAAGCGCTCCTGCAGAAACTCTGGCTCTGGAACTCTCTGAAGAAGCAGAAAAAGGTGGTGTTAATGAGCAGGAGAAGAAACACTCGACAAAAGATTGACATGAGTGTTGTTAAAGACTTACACCGCCGCTTAACTTCATCATAGTCGTGTACATCATTTCCTGCAACAAAAAAAACAACAAGTCAGATTGTTATCCCATCCTGATGATGACAAGTGTCGCAGTGTGTTTTTCCCCAAGAGTCCGTACCTCACTGGATGCAGGAAGTATTGGTTCCAAGACGAAGTGAATGTTGATTGTGTGGCATCCGAACATGACTGGTTTTGAGATGTGACTTTGAGCAAATTTGCAGCACATCGTCCAGTCAGCGAATAACACAAAGGCCTAGAGGTGAAGAGAACAACAGATCTCAATTTAAATCGAATCGAGAGGTAATCTGCACAGGAGAAATGTGATGTTTTTCTTTTACTAGGTTTTGTTTCATTAAGATAAGCGGTAGGTGGCGCCAATTCTCCAGACAGAAACTATCTAGCAGCAAGATGACGAATGCTCCGTTCCGTAAGTCATGTTTTCAGTTCAATGGAGTATTTTAAACCATAGTGTTTCTACTCCTATTCATCCAGGTACTTTTTACACCATTTTCTCCACCAATCATAGAACCTTTCGTTGCATTGTTTCTAGTTTAACTCAAACAATGGTTGAGAAACCAACAGACGTGCGATCGTGTGCTGCTATATTGTATTGCCATGTCATAAATACTTCGGTATTCTACTCTTGCATTTTGTGTTTGTACTGCTATGGTTCGTAATTGTCTTAATGTTTTATGTGAGGGACTGCGGATGGAAAGTAGCTCAAAGTTAAATCCGGCATATTTACACTTGGCACATTTCATGTTTTAAGTGTTCAGTAATGTGCAATAGCCAAATAAACTAATAAATAAAGTTTATACAGATTAGACTTTTGGTCTTCCCCTTACCCTCTTCTGCAGTGGTAAGATCAGCACGTTGTAGTAGAGGGAGTCCAGGTCCTGTTCGGGGAAATAGCTCAGGAACAACGTTGCCATCTCCTCGTATTTGTAGAATCCGTCTGGTAGACCCGTCAACATGATGGTGGGAAACATGGAGCCACTACCACTGGCCTTCTGGAGAAACACAAGGTACAAAACACATGGTGGATTCATATGACGAGCAGAAACACACAACGTGACTCACCAGAATGTAAGGAAAACCGTCTGGAACTTTTTAGGTTTATTTATGCTTTCTTGATACTATCGTATTGAGCAGAATATAAGAGGTTGTTTTTCCTATAAAAAAATCTGACTAAAGAGGGGGTTGTCTTATATTTAGGGTCTAGACTTTTCGATGTAGTCACAACAACAGATCGTGCCAAACGAGACACCGTCTTAAAGTACGTTAGCAGCAACAGGAGAGAAAAAGATGGAGAGAGACAGAGACCAACTTAACAAAGTGGATCAAAAGTTACTGAACAAGAGATGAGAAGTTACAATGCCAATTTTAAAGGTCACCTATCATGCTATTTTTAGGCAATAGCATAGGTCTCAGATATATAAAAAACATGTCTATGAAGTGTTTTGCTCAAAATACCAAACAGATCACCCATTCTAGCCATGCCTCATATCCTTCTATTTCACTTTCTGTGTATTTAGAAAAAAATTGATAACAAAAAAAAGGGGGGGTCTGAGCTCATGCGGGGACCCGGCAGCTACTGTCTAAACTAAATGCTGCCGTGATGAAACGCCATATCATGGATTATCAAGGATTCTCTCTGAAACAGTTTGGAGCTCAAAGGCTTTCTCTCTTGCCGGTTTATACCACAAGGTGAGTTCCTTTTTACTTCCTGCTTCTTCACACACATGCTCTCCAGCTCTCTGAGTGTTAGCATGCTAATGTAAACACCATATTACGTCCAAAACAGTCGGGCATTGTTTCTGATAGCAACGTTTCTGATTGGGTCGTGTGTGTAAAGCCAGCCTACATTTCCAATATTACGTCATATCGGACGCAAATCTCGATCAGCTCTTTTGTAGCCCCGTTTTTAGAGATTTGGGTATGGAGGAAAAGAGAGGGTTTTATTTTCCGACGCTGCGTGAGTTCCCCGACACACCGGGGACACATCTTTATGTATAAAAAACATCAAAAAGTGCATTTTGCATGACAGGTCCCCTTTAAGATAATGGTGATCAACGAAGTCATCAAACAACTGTCGAACAGCAAAGAAATGTGATGTTAAAGAGTATAAAGTTAGAAGACGGCGAGCTCAAAAATGTAAACAGTCAGAGAAAAGCATTCTGCGGTCCGCAAAGGGGCCGTGGAAAAGGTATTTTTCCAAAATGTAGTCTTGAAAAAGAGGGGTCGTCTTACATTCGAGTCAATACAGTACGAGAAAATGTTAACATGCTGTATTCCGCCTCATGCTGATTCTGCAGCATAGTCTGCTCTGATTGGATAAGAAATTAACAACACCTGGAACATTATAGGTTTTCCTGACGTTTGTTCTTGGCTCAGTTGTGCTATGTATATCTCTCCGTCTTCAGCATGAACCCTAGAACTGCTAACATACGTTTTGTTTTATGCATGTCTTTACGGGAACATTTGAGAGAGAAATGACCGAGCAGGACAGCAGAGGAAGAAAGCTTTTGTTGTGGAAATAAAGAGCTAAATAAATTGTTAGCATGATGCTACATGTAGGCAGAGTACTATTTGTGTGTTCAGTGACTAAGATGCTAGGCAGAGATTATTTAAGGTAATTATTAATGTTAGCAAAACAACTAAGAAAGTGATCAAAGTATACAATAGTAGTTTTACTGTAACGTTAGCAACATATTGGAACAGTCTCCTGTACAATATCAACATAAGTGAATATGGAATAACTGATCCTCACAATTATTGCCCTATTTGTCCTGCATATCGTTGGCTTTTTTACGATACCACTAAACGATACTCGACCGATACATATCGTGATACTTTCATGTTGCATAACGGAAAAATGTAAGCGCTTTATGATATAGTTAACATGTCAAATTAATATTACAATTAATTGTGGGACTTCGACCTTTTAATACTGAACAAACAATGAAAAACACATTTGACAACAAGACCGTACATTCCTGTACTCTAATTTTATGTGACAGTAGCAAATGTTTTGAGAGGTTGGATGTGTTGCCGCCTTTCCCAGAAATAAACGTATTGCAGTGGTTACTGACCCCACCATTCAGACTGGCAGTCATATGCAGCTACACTTTAGATGTTCGTGCCGAAATCGAGCTAATGAAAAAACGAAAGCTAACCGAACGGCTCAGACGTTCGGGAGGAAGGTGAAGGGCGTTGCTTGGCAATCAAGCCAATCACCAAAGCCGTTGCAAGACGTGCAATCTGATTGGCTGGCGGTTTGGGCGTGAGTTTAAGGATATTACGCCTCACTTTATATAGGTAAAAAATCAAATTGAAAAAAATTGAAAGTACCGAAAACTGGATCCGATTTCTGTACGGTATACCGAAGCCGCCAGTAACCGGTATTTCGGTAATACCGGGAACCGGTATGCACCCCTAGTCCTGTTACAACGTAATAATGATATAGTAGTAGTAAAGACAAATGGAAATGTATAGGCTTTTACATTAGGCACACCTAATAGCTCATATGCTACTGGATCAATATTATAAAAAGGTCCTCCTAAACTATGTATATAATATAAAATAGGAAAGCTGAACTTAAATGTGCTTACCTCAATGTCGTCCTCTCCTCTGACTGTCAGGTAATCTTGGGGTTAAAAGTAAACAATCTGTTACTCTACTGAATACGTAAACATGGTAGTATCAGATCATCACATTGAATGAAGTCATGATAATCAACTTGTGGAAATGATATTGTAACAAGGTCTCTTACCAGGAATGACAAAGGTAGGAGTCGTGGTAGGAAACATGAAGGGGTGACTCTTCAGAGTGAGAAAAAAACTTCCAGGTTCTTCTTGCGGTGTGTTTCCTGTATGGGGTTAAAGTTGATGTCAATAATATGTGTGTAAATTGTAAATGTAAAACACCTTCCACAAATGCATTCAAAAGATTTGCAAACTCACTCAATTACTATAATAGACAGCGGTACGTTATGTACATTCTTTATCATCATCATGTCATAGTGATACAGTTAGTTTGTGTACAGCCTATATCGAATATATAACTCTTCATAATTTATTGTGTCATTACACTAATGTAAATGTTTACGGTTAATATTGTTGAAGGTTTTATTGTCCTTTTTATACTATTGGCTAGTTTAATATACACCAATGCATTATATTGTTTCAAGGCATGATATAAGTTTCTCAGAGATTGTGACTGCGTATTTGTATAAGATGGTACAAGCAAAACAAATGAGGAATTAACTAAAGGTGATACATCAATGAAGTGGAGTAAAAAGTAAGAATAATCCATAAAATGTGTTCATTTCGACATCCATCCGGCAATAAGTGTAGGGTTAGGTGCCGGTAAAGAGCAATACAGGGACAATACCATTCAAAATAATTTACATCTACCCACAAATTATAATACACAAATCTAACCCCATATTCCTGGCACTTTCGTTTATTAGTCTTTGTCGTACAGCAAAAATGAAAAAAAGTAAAGAAGTGTCTACATGTTTTTTGTATTTTCACCATTGCCATATCACCGATACAGAAATGTGGGGGGTGTGTGTGAGAGAGAAACTCCCTCTGGAGGTAACACAGGGATTTTAGCCTTTGCAGACCATTTACATGCATTAAAAAACAATATAAACACACTACAGGAAAGGGAAAACCCCTAAAAAAGCAGGCCCTTTGAGACTTACCACTGTGTGGAAGCATTTTTGGGAAAAACTTTTTTAGTCTGTGGATTTCGTGGCAGGGCTCTCCGTTCTGACTGTACCAAGCTCCGAGTCGATCAACATCAGCTTTGATATCGAATTCTATAAATACCTGGAACACACACACACACACCTACAGGTAAGACAAAAAGGACGTCCTTTTCCAAAAGCCACATCCTTGCATGTGTTGGTTCATACCTTTTCGAGGAGAGGGAGGAAGTTCCTGACAGAATGAATACCAACTTCTTTCAAAGTTTCTCTCAACTTCAGGGAATCTGTCCGTGAAATGTTGTTGATGAGGACTATATTCTCTCCATCACGAACCGTGCTCTGCATCAAGAACAGGAAGTGAACAAGCAAACCGCAAAGTTAACAAGGAAAGAGCCAATGTCTTAATATGATCTGAATGCAGGTATATATGTGTGTGTGTGTGTGTGTGTGTGTGTGTGTGTGTGTGTGTGTGTGTGTGTGTGTGTTACTTACCTCACCGATGAACTTCATCAGCCAGTTATAAAACCCAAGCTATAACAGAGACATTAGAGTAGACAGTGTTAAGATGCCTGCTGATAATTAGGTAAAACAATATTTTCTGTGTTTCTTTGAACGGACGACTACTGGGAGACTAGGATGATAATCAGCCCTGGTTGTCTCAATGCTTACCGGTCTCATTACAAATGGGGGCTCCATGCCGTCGCAAGTAAGCTCACAACCATGTAACTTTAACTCTTTCTTCTGACAGGCTTCCACTAGCTTCGGCACATGCTTACATGATGGCACACAGATGAATGCCTGAGAAAAAAAACGAGAAAAACAACTGCTTGTGGCTTTACTGCTAGCATTTAAAGTCTTTCAATATGCATAAAAACAGTCTGAAACAGGTAATAGTGTATATATGATCTTGGTTATGGTGTATATAAGATCTTGGTAATAGTGTATATAAGATCTTGGTAATGGTGTATATATGATCTTGGTTATGGTGTATATAAGATCTTGGTAATAGTGTATATAAGATCTTGGTAATGGTGTATATAAGATCTTGGTAATGGTGTATATATGATCTTGGTAATGGTGTATATAAGATCTTGGTAATGGTGTATATAAGATCTTGATAATAGTGTATATAAGATCTTGGTAATGGTGTATATAAGATCTTGGTAATAGTGTATATAAGATCTTGGTAATAGTGTATATAAGATCTTGGTAATGGTGTATATAAGATCTTGGTAATAGTGTATATAAGATCTTGGTAATGGTGTATATAAGATCTTGGTAATAGTGTATATAAGATCTTGGTAATGGTGTATATAAGATCTTGGTTATGGTGTATATAAGATCTTGGTAATGGTGTATATAAGATCTTGGTAATGGTGTATATGAGATCTTGGTAATGGTGTATATAAGATCTTGGTTATGGTGTATATAAGATCTTGGTAATGGTGTATATGAGATCTTGGTAATGGTGTATATAAGATCTTGGTTATGGTGTATATAAGATCTTGGTAATGGTGTATATGAGATCTTGGTAATAGTGTATATATGATCTTGGTTATGGTGTATATAAGATCTTGGTAATAGTGTATATAAGATCTTGGTTATGGTGTATATAAGATCTTGGTTATGGTGTATATAAGATCTTGGTAATGGTGTATATGAGATCTTGGTAATGGTGTATATAAGATCTTGGTTATGGTGTATATAAGATCTTGGTAATGGTGTATATGAGATCTTGGTAATAGTGTATATATGATCTTGGTTATGGTGTATATAAGATCTTGGTAATAGTGTATATAAGATCTTGGTAATAGTGTATATATGAGATCTTGGTAATAGTGTATCTAAGATCTTGGTAATAGTGTATATAAGATCTTGGTAATAGTGTATATAAGATCTTGGTAATAGTGTATATAAGATCTTGGTAATGGTGTATATAAGATCTTGGTAATGGTGTATATAAGATCTTGGTAATAGTGTATATAAGATCTTGGTAATGGTGTATATAAGATCTTGGTAATAGTGTATATAAGATCTTGGTAATAGTGTATATATGATCTTGGTTATGGTGTATATAAGATCTTGGTAATAGTGTATATAAGATCTTGGTAATGGTGTATATAAGATCTTGGTAATGGTGTATATAAGATCTTGGTAATGGTGTATATAAGATCTTGGTAATGGTGTATATAAGATCTTGGTAATGGTGTATATAAGATCTTGGTAATGGTGTATATGAGATCTTGGTAATGGTGTATATAAGATCTTGGTAATGGTGTATATAAGATCTTGGTAATGGTGTATATAAGATCTTGGTAATGGTGTATATAAGATCTTGGTAATGGTGTATATAAGATCTTGGTAAAATAAAAAACCAATACAATTCGGCAGAAACACGAGATTAATAAACCAAACCGACAGATTTGGTGTACGTACCAAACGCAACTGAGGAAAGGCATAGATTAATCTTTCAGAGCAGTCAACTATATATGGAATAAGTTGCTGGACGATGTCGTTTAAAGTGTAGCTGGACTCGCGATAATCCGGCAGGTTGGAAATGAGCATGTGCGGGACATTCTTTTTAAGAAACTGGAAAAAAAGAGGAAAAGATGGTCATAATTACAGGTTGCTTGTTTAATGAAGATGTTTTGAGTAAACTGTATTGTGTTGGAGCAGTACGTTACAAAAGACTGAAGACTTGGCTACTAGATTGATTTATATCTTTAGAAAAAAACACATTTGTAAATCTAGCAAGACTTATTACAATAGATTTGAGGAAACCCACCAGTGCCTTAAACAAGAGTTCCGGCAACAGCGTCCCTGTGAAAGAGAGACAATGAAAATGTGAAACAAAATAAGAGAAAAGAGGCAAAATATATAATCGCATGCAGACCATGTTGAGGAATTCTTACTTATTCTCGATGGACACAGGTATTTGTCTACAAGTTCCTCGCAAGTCAGCGATTCATCTTGACATACTTCAGAGGCATTCTCGGCTCGTGAACCGCTTTGTTTCTTCGCTTTAGTCCCAGGACCTTCAAAAGATCAAATTGAAATAAAAGATTAATGTCAGGAAGAGGTGAACACCTACATGCTGGCTACTTGTTCTCTTGTGGTGTTTGATAAATAAAAGTCACCATGGTTTGCAACTCCACCTCCTCTCGTGGTCGATTATTTCACTGGAAATCCAGCCGCTAAAGGGTCGCTGTCTCACAAATGTATGTCTTTCTCCTTGACATACATCCGTCTTTTTACGGCACCATTGTTCTACAAAACACTACAACTGTACATGTCGTCTGTCATAATAGGCCTGAAGTTTAAGGGATGAGCTTAACATAACCTTAAGTCAACATAATGTTATACAAGATCATTTTCAATTCAAATTAAAGCTAAAGCGTGGCTATCCAAAAAGCCATATACTTTTGGACACCCTCATTTATCGGAGACTCTGGTTTGAGTCATTGGGAATGAACATATTCAATATTTCCATCCTTATCCTTTCCTGAAAAAAAGGGCAGGCCATATTTGTATTTCTTCATCCAAAGAAATGGAACATAGAGTAAATGATGTCAGGCACTAAAGATTTATTGGAGGTTATGGAGAGAGAATTGACAATGTTGAAACACCGTACGTGACACATCTTCAACTTTGAGGTTCTCTAGCTCACTTCTGAATATTTAAATCGTCATTATACGACAAGATACTGCAAATCCTGTCCCTAGCAGAGATGAATTGGTTCATTAGATCGACTCCAAGAAGTCCCTCCTGCTCGTTGAGACTGTGCCTGAAATATACGTCCTGTTTTGATGTGAAGAAAATATTGTTTTTGACTCCGTTTAAGGACAAGAAGATTCAACTATTGGGTCAAATCTGGCCTTATTATACCGGGAGAAGCTGCTCTCCCAAGGGCTTTTACCTGTGCTTGTTAGGAGAAGAGTAAGAGGAGGTAAAGGCTAAATCATCTAAACTAAGAGATACTTTATTGATCCCAATTTGGGAAATGTTTGCATTGCAGCAAAGCCCCCATGAAGACTGAGGAAAATATTTGTTGTGGCCAAACGGCGGTACTACACTTCCGTATCAGTCGCTGGACCCGGAAAGACTTTTCCCCATTGACTAACATTGGGAAAGAGACGTCTGTAAATCGTTGGATAATCTTTTTTTAAACTAAATAAGCTGCCCAGTATGAACGTTTGTATAGCCCTTATTAAAAACATTCGGTCCTCAAGTTGTAAAATGTGCAAATAAAGTTATTCTGAGAGTTATTTTCATCGACATTATGAACGCAGATCTAACCCACGGGACCGCGCCGCCCGGCACGTTCATTTGACGTGTTCAGTACTACTTTTTCGAGTTTTACCTTTACCCATGGATGCACAATAAGAACGGATTATATGAATACTTTCGTGACGTTTTGCTCTCTCAAAAGTTGGGCCATTTTATCATAATGCGCCAATGAGCAACTCTCATAGGAATGAACGAGGCCCCGCCTCCCACGCTGTATCCAATTCTTATTATACATCCACGGTTGCAGCAGCATTAAAAACAAAACGAGTAGAAATTAAAGGTGGGGTAGGTGATTTTGGAGAAACTAGCTCGAGTGCGCTAGAATTTGAAAATACACCACCAGAAGAAATCTGCCACTTCCTTACAGAGCCCCTCCTCCAACACACACGAACGCGCACATGACCAATGAGGGCACGAGATAAGTTTGTGCACAGATGGAAGGCTGACAGGCAGGTAGGCCATCCAGTTACTTTAGCCGGCTCAGATGATTGGTCGTGCTTTTTACAGCGCCACGGCCTCCACAGATTATGTTTTTTTATGGATTTTTTGTCAAAGCACTTCAGATATTCATTGCTATCGGGATGTTAAGAGCATTCCATGGAATATAACAAGTGTATCTCGAGCCGGTTTCTCAAACTTACCTACCCCACCTTTAAGGGCTCCCAACTAACTTTTTTCCCCATCCTCCCGGAACCGTCCCGAAATACAATCTAAGCCGTCCCGAAATTAATGTGGACCGTCCCGAATTTAAAATCTTAGTTTTTCTACATTATCATTAGTTAAAATCATTCAAAGTGACCTTTAACATAAATAAAACATCATACAAATCATTAGATGATAATTCATCAACTTTTTTATTTGAGTAAATCATTCAATCACATAAACAAAGGCCAAATATATTTAAACAAACACAAACGATAAAATTACTCTAATATTGAATCCAATCAAGTCCCATCCAATTAACAAAAAAATCCAACACTCTGTCCTGAAGACAGAACCCAGAGTAACCGCTAACCAGGATGACAGTCTGTAACACAGTCAGGAGACCTTTACAAACGGCCCCGCCCCCTGCACACGGACGGGAGAGAGAGATCTCGTCTGGATTGGAAAGCTCGAAAATACATCATAGACGCATGTTGTAGTCTTATTGCATATTAGAAACGGAGTTGGCGAAACTAAAACTGCGATATAATGTTTATGTAGCAATAATACATATGACATGTATTTTTTAAATGTCTCCAGTACCGATAAAAAGTCCGATAACGTCGGAGTTTAACGTTACCACTGTCTTTAATAATTCCGGCCCGGGGCCCGTTTAATACCGGGGCTCGGTACCCCATCCCTACATGGAGAGAGGCGCAGCATATTGCTAAGGACTAAATACGATGGAGAGTTCTCATCTCAGCCTTATACCATAGGGGATGAAGAGGAGTAAGTAAATAAAGAGGCCGGCGCTCCAGGGTCTGGTTCTGCTGTGCGTTTTTGTGATGTAACGGTAAAACATTTCAGAATTCCTCCACGGGATGCCATTGTACATCACTCAACCCGCGAAATACACACACTCCGTACATAGCTAGACCCGCGAATTCGCGGGCACACACAGTAGCTACGTACTGTGTGTGTGTGTGTATTTCACGAGTTGCTAAATGTTTTGTGCGTGTGTGTTTATGTTGACAAGGAGGTTTAATAACTGTGTGCTACACAAAACGTGCAGTCGGTTTCATTTTCGTCGCCGTTTGTAGTAGTTAGCAGGGTATTTTTATTTTAACTCTTGTCCCAAATTCGTCCCAAAATTATTTTTTATCCTCCCCGACACTATTTTTTCCGGCCCCGGGACGTCCTTAAGCTCGAGCCCTGCCACCTTTAAAGAGTGGAAATAAACAATACTAGAATTTAAAAATCTAAAAATAGAATTAAAGCAGTATTAACATATACAGTAGGCCGTGAAGATAATTAATCTATAATCTCAAACAATAAAACACTATTGAATGGCTTTAGACACAATGTAAAGCAGGACATTATTTACATTTAGAGTTAACTAACCCTAACCCATGGAATGTAATATTAAATAAAAAATACGCCAAGTGCCAAATAAACAAGTCCCTATCAAACGTACCTTTCTGAATTGTTTTCGTCTCCACCTCTACTTCTGGAAGATGTGCATCCACAGGTGCTTTGGTGGAGCTTCCTGCAGTTTCCTGTTGAGCATCTGAAGCCTCTGTGTTGGTCTCCGATGCTTCAGCAGTGGACTCTGTGACGGTGCTCTGCTCGACCTCTGGTAAAGCTTTGAGAGAGCTTTCCATCGGCTGGGTCTCCTCTGCTGGTTCACTCTCCCTGCATTTGTCTGCTGAGTTTTCTGGAACAGCCTCTGTAGTAGTTTCTTCTTGGGAACAACTTTCAACATCCATGGGTTGTTCCACTTTAACTCCCACTCCCTCAACCTCCATTGGTTTAGCATCTCCTGCATCTTTAGCTTTGTCATGTTTTTCCTGGGGTTCAATAAGGATCACATCATCATCATCAATAATAATAGGCGTGTCTTTCGGCACAGCTTCTTGAACCGTGGTTTCAGATGGTCTTTTGACATCAGATGGTCTTTTGACATCAGATGGTCTTTTGACATCAGATGGTCTTTTAACATCAGATGTTTTTTTGACATCAGATGGTTTTTTGACATCAGATGGTTTTTTGACATCAGATGGTTTTTTGACATCAGATGTTTTTTTGACATCAGATGTTTTTTTGACATCAGATGTTTTTTTGACATCAGATGGTTTTTTGACATCAGATGGTTTTTTGACATCAGGCTGTTTTTCTGGAGCTGTGGAAGGTTTTTTCTTCACCACAGTCTTTTTCACAGCTCCCTTCGCAGGAACCTTTCTCGTTTCAGATATCTGCTTGGTAGAGACGTTTTTCACTTTGGAAACCAAGACTTTGGCTTTAGTGGCACCCGTTAGGCTTTTAGCTGCACTTTTCTGATTGGTAGGCTTTCCTGATGCAGCTCCAGGAGGTTTTTTGAGGTCTTTCTGAAGAGGCTTGGTGTTAGCTGTAGTTTGAGGTGTGGAGGACTCAGACGTGGCAGGTTTTCTGTAAAGGAAAAATAATGACATGGGTTAAACAGGAGAACATTGAGAATCAAGGTATTAATGTTTTTATTAGGGCTGTCAGTCGATTAAAATATTGAATCGCATGATTGTCCATAGTTAATCGCAAATTGTATCTGTTCTAAATGTACCATAGAGGAATATTTTTCAAGTTTGTAATACTCTTAACATATGAGTGGACAAATATGCTTTATGCAAATGTTTGTTTATTACCATTGGAACAATGACAAATATTCTCCTGAATATTTTCAATACAACCTGGAACCTCTCTCTCTTCACTCTCTCCCAACCCTGTCTACTTCTTTGCACTGAGCCAGTTGCTCAAACAGACAGTGGTCGCTCCTCTGTCTTCATACCAGTCAAAGCATGAGACTGAAGTTCCCACTTAAGGTCAAAATAATGCGCTGTGATGTGCAGTCGACACGTTGGATGCGATCCGAATTATCTAACGCAGCCCCTCGTCCTCCACAATGTTAAGCTGTAGCCCCCCATTTAGCTATCGCTGTTGTTGTCCAGGTGTCTCCCCGGCAAACTTTAAAGCGTGGTCTGCCGCAAGCGAGCGGCAGGAGCGGGGCTGTCAGCATCAGCTGTGTGCTTGGCTTGCTGTTTAAAAACACCTTTTTTTGTATCCATATCTCTCGCTAGAATCTCCCACCATCCAACTAACAACAACAACGCTAAGACTTTGGGCTCTGAAACTACGGGGCGGGACGACGACAAATACACATGCGTTAATCGCACGTTAAAATTATTTGTGGCGTTAAAAGAACATTTCGTTAATTAACGCGTTAACTTGACAGCCCTAGTTTTTATATGTGGTTCATGTGGTTCATCCCCTGTGCAAAGAAACATAAATACATCATTTGGTACATTTTTATTTTCAACAAGGACATAAATAAACTAAGGAAACAACAATATTTATAGTAATAAATATAATAAAAACGGTTAAAAGAGATGAGTAAAATATATCTTACTTCTGACGAGGAATCCTTTGCTCCTGTAAACAAAATAATTTAGATTTGTGATTTTAACTGGAGCAAACAGATGAGAACATTTACATAATCCAGGGACAGAAAATCAAAAAGGGCGATACCTTTTCACAGCCAATTGGGACCCTCGTTCCTTTCACCACAAAGTCCTTAAGGATCCTTAATTTCGGAGCGTCTGCTGCATTCTCGAAACGCACCACTGCCTACATGGGCACATACACAAAAGCACATATTCGTATGTTACTTTTAAAACAAAAGCATCAGTGGATTAGATTTGGGAATCTATTTTGTACTACCGATGAGTTTATGACTAAACGGTTAAAAAAAATGATGACCCTAAAATGGGGTTTACAACAGGTTCATCAAAGATCGGACCCTTTTATTTTGCTCTTAAAGTGCACCAGACTTTATGTTAAAATGTATAAAATGTTCAACCACGGTATAGATTTCTTTGCAGATAGATTAGGGGTTTAATTCCCTGGTCAATGCTATACAAGCACTGTGGATAAAAGCAACAGATGTCAAGAGGAAACGTACATTGTGTAGTATCTTTTGCATATTAAACATACCTCACTTGTGGATCGAAACATTATAATTGAATTTGTTTTTCCAAAGTGCTCCACGGCATTCTTGATATCTGTGTAAGATAGGGATCTAGGAACACATCTGAGCATCACAACGTTTTCAGGTAGAACTTCAGCATCCTGAGAAAGAGAAAGAGAAACACGTAATTAGGAAAATAGACTGCTGAAACCGTTTGTCTTTTAAAAATGGTTTGAACAAAATTCATCCTACTAAAGAAGTGACCAATTCCACCAGACGCGGCGCGTTACGGCTAGAAGCGTCCCAGAAGCGTCTCGGCGCTGGGCTTCGCAAAAAATAGGAGGCTGGTCTATTTTTTACGTGAGGCGTTGCATAGCGCCAGGCAGGAAGCGGACCGGTCAGAGCATCCAGTCAATCCCCAAAATAAACTAATTTTGCAGACCCTATCCCTCCGTAGTCTTTCAAGTAGGAGGAGAAATGCCAGCGTTCTCTTCCGGTTTACAGGCACTGTGTAAATTATATATATATATATATTAGTGTAACGGTTCACAAAGATTTCGGTTCGGTACGTACCTCGGTTTTTAGGTCACGGTTCGGTTTGTTTTCGGTACAGCAGAAAAAATTATCACAAAACATAAAATATTTGTTTGTTTTTTAATTATTATTAAACTGTGAATAATGTATTTACTCAAATAAATACAAAATATAATAAAATAAACATTAAGGTGCAGCATTTCGATGAACTGAAATAATCTGTATTTGAACTTTACTGTACTAGTAGGCTACTCACAAAACAAATTAGTTTTGGAGTTTTAATTATTATTAAACTGTGAATATTCACTCAAATAAATACAAAATATAATAAAATAAACATTAAGGTGCAACATTTCGACGAACTGAAATAATCTGTATTTGAACTGTACTAGCACCTAAGCAGCCAGCTTGACATTAGGACTTGCTTGTCATTGTATTTTCATGTTTTTTTAAAGAAAAATGAACTTGTCCACATTGCTTGCAGAAAGGGCAGATCTGCTGACACTAACAATGTCTCCTGCTGTGGAGAACACCCTCTCTAGGGACAGAGGTAGCAGATACAGCCAGGTAGCGCTTTGCTAACATGGCAACATAAGGATATTTGGCATTTGTAATAGCTTTGGCTCGGTCTAAACTTTTTGCGAGTGGTGGAGGCTTACATGGGAGTTGGGTTTGCACTTCAGTCTTTTTTTCTTTTGGTACCGGTGATATTCACGTTCGGGTGATGCCTTTTCAAATGAGTGTGCAAGTTTGATGTATTGCCAGCCGCGTAACCAATGTTAGTTGAACAATGCCGACAAACAGCTTTGGTTCGGTCCACCTGTCTTTGTCCGTCATCCTTGTACGTAACTGCGAAACCAAAATGTTCCCAAACCGGAGACTGCAATGATGCTGGAGGATTTTCGAGCTCAACTTTATCCAGTGGCGAACCGTCAGGGCCTTCAAGGTATTCAGAGAATACCCTGGAACACTCAGATAAAACAAACAAAAAATCGAATTAATTATATAAATAAAATGTATATAAAATGAATAAATGAGAATGGTATCCGTGTCGTTGATCTGTAATATCACAGTGTTACGTTGATTTGTTTGTCCTTCTCGGACCATGCTACGCATTTCAGTGGTTTTGTGTTAGAAAATAAAGCAACCAATCAGATCTTGTTCTGGGTCGAACATCCTTCAACCAAGGTATTCTACATCCTTGATCGAATGCCCTGGCCGTTGCACTGAATGAGAGCGTACGTTTGGACTGACAGTTTGATCAACCAATCATATATTGATTTGTAGCCAATGGGCGTATTCTTTGAGAGTTCCCCTCGGTTCCAGGTGCTCTAGAAGGCCCGCTAGTTAACTGGCTCGAGACAGAGGATCTAGATGAATGCGACGAAGCAATTCATGCCATTGTATTGTTTTTAACGTTGAAATGACAAGTGCAACAGGTGAAGATGAAGTTGTTGCGGAATTGTTGCGAGTACCCTTTTCAAGACGACAATTCAGTGAAAAGACGGACATTATAATGCCGCGGAGGGGGGGGGGGGGGGCGGGTGTGTCTACAGAAGGTCCAGTTGTGATGGCCACGGTTCGCCACTGACTTTATCTGCATTCGCCATTTCGACAGCTCCTCAAATTACTGACTAAATTTGAACGCATCCCTGTGACCAGCTCTCATAGTATGCCTCTCGTCCAATGAAATGACTTGGTCGCTCTATGACACGTTGAACCTCTGAATGCTGCGACGCAGCACCTGAGATTACTTCCAAAATTTTTTTCACGTTCTCAATGTTTTACGTTATATTCATTCGGTACATTTCGGCACCGAAACGAAGGGCCCGTACCGAATAATTTCGGTACGGGTACGTATACCGTTACACACCTACATAATTATGATGATTGCATTTTTTTACCACTAAAATACAGCAACACGTCTTTGATTCATGTAATTTATAACTGGACTATTACAATTATTATTAACTTTGTCTGTACAAAGTAGCCTGTACAGGAAATATGCCCAAATCAACAAAAACTACGAGCCGGCACGCAAGACGCTTTCAAGAGTAAAGGTTTACCAGAGGATTGACTGGTGATAAATCTCTGGTAAATTACACACACTGTACCAACCTTGGTCTGTCTAGGACAGGGGTCGGCAACCTTTTTGATATGAAGTGCCATTTAAAAAAGAAATTGTGATCAGTGTGCCAACTAGGGATGCCAGTGATTATTCGATTATTCGTTACAGTCTCCATAATCGAATATTATTTTTAAAAATCGATTTTATTTATATATTTTTTTATTATTATTTATGTTTTTTTTTTTTTTTGGCTTAGTTTCAGCCAAAATATAGACTAATGCTAATAATAGTAATAGTATTAATAATTGTAAATGGCCATTGGTCACACCACCAGTTTGTTTTACTGTAAACTTGGAGGAAGCCTGCGTGCAGAGCAGACTGCTGCTGCAGCATGCTACACACCGACCCCGCCCCCCCTCTCACGTGCGACTCAAGATGAACAAAGCTGCAGGTAAAAAGAGTTCCTCCTCGTGGAACTACTTCGAACTCAGAAGTCCAAAGGAAGTTAAATGCAAGCTCTGCGAAAAGACGTTGGTCTATCACAGCTCAACCGCAACAATGCGTTTTGAGTGCATCCATTTGAAGATGCGCGATGCACGCACAATTTATTTATTGCAATGCTGCTATTATTAATAATACAGGCTACAGCCTGTATTAATAATAGCATTGCAATAAATAAATTGCTATAATAATATTTATTGCAATGCTGCTATTATTAATACAAGCTGTAGCCTGTATTTAATAATGGCAGCATTGCAATAAATACATTGTGCGCGCATAGCGCATCTCCAAATAAAAAGGCAATGGCAGGCACTTTAGAAAATAACAAAAAATAAACCAACATCATGTACTGTTAAACATGTTCCAGTAAAGAAAACAACGGAATTCCTTTTGTCTGAGTTTTTTTTTTCTCTCCCGCAGGGAGAATAATCGATTATTATTCGCCAGGGCTGCCGAATAATCGATTTTGATCATGGTCAGTTTCTGGTAACCCTAGTGCCGACGCTCGTGAATGGTCAACAGGGGGGGGGGGGGGGTGAAGAGCTCGACGTTCGTGAACTGTCAACAGGAGGGCGGGGGAGCCTCGCTGTGGACCTCTTTCATCCGTTAGCGCAACTTACATGATGCGGTTTAAACAAATTTAAATAATTGGTTTAAACGGCATGATAATGACGACCGTCCGTCCTGTGATTCTCCAGAACACACAGATGGCCAGTCCGCCCCTGTGTAGCATATTATTTTCTATGAGAGATGAGCAGATCGCCACTGGGCTTTCAACTAAAGACACAGCCACGCAAAAACTGCGGCATTTGTACAGCTCCTTATGGGTAGCCTACTGCAATTTGTGAAATGCTGGAGCGCTCCGGCAGCACTATACCCCTGATCGCAGGAATTCTACTGGAGTTAAAGAGAGCGGGGCTGCGTTGCGTGCATAGCTTCCTTCTGCAGGTAACGGGGAGACGAGCTCTGGCGATGTGGTGGCACGCTTGCCAGGGGTTGCCAACCCCTGGTCTAGGACTTGCCATGTTCTTCATATTTACCTTAGAGGGCTTTTTTGTCCTAGGCTTTCCTGCTGTTGCTGAGGTGGAGGCTGAGGAAGATGCATTTGAAGACTTCAGCTTGGCTAGCTCGGCCAGTAAGGCAGGAGCCAGAGATTTAACCACGGCTTCCAGGTCAGAAGGGTTCGCCAAAGACTGCGCAGCTAAAGAGAGGGAAACAAAAAGAGCGTCAATGAAAATTGTTGTGTTTCGGCCTCAATGGTACTTTCTTACGTTGCATACAATAAAATGCCAAATATGGTGTTCCACAAGGATTAGTACTCGGTCCTCTTGTTTTGTGTTTACTTATTGCCTCTGAGATTCAAGGGTACAATTGACACACAATACATCTTTAAACCTGGGCTACAAGTCTTTCAAATGTTGTGAATTTACCTGTTGCTCCCAGGAGTTTCTTAGCCAGGTTTTCTGCACTGCTTGCCCTCTTTTGCCGATTCCTCCTTGTTGGCGATCGTCTCTCGTCATTTCCCTTCAGAGGTGATAGTCTCTCGCGGCTATTGTTCGGAGATGACCATCTCTCGTGGCTACTCCTTGGAGATAATCGTCTGTCGTATCTCCTCCATGGTGAGGACATTTGGTCGTCTCTCCTTGGCGACCATTTTCTCTCAGAGCTCCTTGATCGTGATCGATAGCGGGAGGAGTTATACCGTGGAGAAAATGAACGAGACCGGGACCTGATGAAAGTACAGATGAAATCTTATGATAATCCAGAATCAGTTAACATTTCAAGCTTTGGTTTTTCCAGGGGGAGCTAAATGCTAACGCTGATGCAGATAATCTTCAAGGGGGTGACAAACACAAATACACAGTGGGCCAAAATAAAAAAAATGGGTACTAGTCGAGGGCCGGACTGGTTCAATGTTTATTGCAAAACGTATTGAAGTTAACTTATTGCACATATTAAACCTGGAACTAACAAAGCTTAAATTATTGCCTATAAAAACTACATTAAACATTAAATAATCAGTTGCATTCATTTCTTATGGCTCTATCTGCAGCTTTTCCAGAGTCATTTCTTATGGCTCTATCTGCAGCTTTTCTTAGGATTACATTTTCCCACAGGCCAACAACAGCTTCAAAAAAACTATTTCCCTCAAAGAAAAAAAACAAACATGCCCCGTTGTCGCAAGAGAAAAAGTGCGGAAGGAAACATCCATTGAAACTCAGTTTGCTGCTCTGTGATGCTAGGTCAAGCCAGATACTTGGCATCTCATCTTGGGTGCAAGTTCATCAATGACAACAGGCTCATGGGGTCAGGCTCTGAGCGGAGGAGATCCTCAGGATGGAGTGAAGGTGTGCGTGCAATATACCAGCGGGCCAGATCTAATAGTAATGAAAAATGATCCTGCGGGCCGAAATTAAATCCACCACGGGCCTGCTTTGGCCCCCGGGCCTTGAGTTTGACACATGTGTCCTAGAGGAACATATTTGGTAATGGCAATGTACTGTTATTGGTCTAATAAGAATGTATGCATCACACACCTGCGATTGTGTCTGGAGCTGTGCGGCAAGCGTGATGAACTCCTGCGTTTTTCCCTTTTACCCTCCGAGCCATGGCGACGGGGGCTTGGCGAATGGGAATAAGAACGAGAGCGGCTTCCACGTCTGGTTTTCTGACGCTGCTGGTAAGACTGTGAAGAGGTTTTGGGCGAGGGCTTGGTATCTTTACCTGCAGCACTGAAGGGGGCAATGGACGAGAAAAAGCTCAGTGAAGGATCTCATCCAAATGTGTATGCACAAGACAAATAAAATCTCACAGTACCTGGACTTGAACCCTATCTCACCATCCCACAGTGGATGTCTGTGAAGAAAGAAAAAACAGATAGGCATTTTAAAAACAGGTCAAAAGAGGTTTAGGTTAGAAAGCAAATATGTTTTATTATTTAATCTTGTTAGTCAAGACACTTGTTTAAGTAAATAGAATCCACAGTTGGTGTACATATAACTGAAATGATGCTTCCCAGTGTAGTCTGAGATACAGTCGTCAGAAATAGACGTAGAAAAAGAAAAAGACTGACTGTGTTCGGAGGAGTCTGCAGTTCTCAAGGTGAAGGGCGGTGTTCTGGTGTGAGATCCAATCCTATTAGAACGACAAGCGCAGCATTTAGATAAAACTCATTATCGACACATCTGTTATCGGCTCTTACATCTGAACTGTCCTTTTTGTGATGTCTGAAAACAGATATCCTTAATTAGACATCAGGAGCCTTAAAGAGGAAACAGGAACACGCCGTTCTGTCGAGTGTCAATTTCAAATGTCCATTTCCATTTCTCCCCACTTGTGTAGAAATCAGTTATTGTTGATAAGTGTTCATGTAAAAAAAATAAAATATGGTTTCTTTAAACCTTCAGCCAACAGCAGTCTTTCAGATTACAGGAACAATCGGGAGCCCAAGAGACGCTGAGACATTAGCCAACAGTATATAAAGATGTAAGTGTTAAAATGGTGGCTTTGATATAAGCCAAAACAAATGTTATCTTATGGACAAAATAAGGGACATGAAATCCTACTTTGACAACAATTTCCTTTAAAAAAAGTCAGCAAATATAAAACACATACAGGGGTGCCAGTAACAAACATAACATTTTCTCCTTCTTGGGTTCTTGATGTTACGATCAGTCGGGTTCTTCTGTCCTCTGGGGTTTTAGAAGATTTCCTGATGTTTGTAGAAGGTAATCTCAGCAGAAATCCCCCAGACAGGAAGATGTGGAAAGGGGTGGGCCGGCATCTTCTTTTTTTTTTATTAGACAAAATGTGAATTGCACAAAGGGGTGGATAGTGAAAGCTAGATGATTGCGTGATTCATGAAGTAAGATGCTTTGGGGTTGATGTATTCGCAGTTGGAATTCCTTTTGGGTAATTTTTTGGGGCAAAAGAGGGGCTAAGCTTCAAATAGTAGTATCAGTATTACAACAAAAGATTGATACTCAATGTTGGATAAAACAATGTTTTACCGAGAGCTCCAATATTAGGAATACAAGATAGAAATTGTCACTATCTACTTTCAAAAACAATGTAGAAATTAAAATACAAATGTTGGCAGAAAAAAGATAAAAAGGGAACGACAGCCATCTTCGCCACGTCTTCTTGGTCCCATGTTCAAAAACCGTCTCAAACGTTGGTCGCATCTCATTTTATCAAACAATGCAACATTAAAAAGTTTGTGTAAATCTGACAATTGCTACTACATACCAATGACTGTCATCTCTCGTAAGTAGACAATACAAAATAATAGTAATTATAATAAGTTTGTAACTTTGTTTTTTGCACATACACACACACACAAAAAAGTGGTACAAAGGTTATACGTGGTGACAGTGTTTCTACCAGCATGTCTGAGTTATTGTTGGTCAATTCAGAAAATATTTTACATAAATACTTTGAATGGAACCCCTTTCACATTTTTCAACCTTTTTCCAACTCCCAAAGACATAACATTTAAATTGATGACAAATTGAAAACAAACCCACAACTTCCATAAGTGAACAGGGTGCAGACTTCCACTCACCTTCATACGAGTACATTCTTTGTTACACAGAGAACAGGTATGTGGAAAGATTCTCGGCGAGGCCGCCGCATAGTCATGCATCATGGCAACAGACAGCATACGTATGGGGACGTGATGAACTGCTTGAGTCTGCGTCTTGGATGCTGGCACCGGCGGAGGAGGGAGGTTCATCGGGCCCGGGATCTGCTGTGTTGCAGCTGGAGGATCACTGGCAGGGAAAACACCACCAGGATGCTGCATGACACCAGTCACAGAATAACCTGGTGGCCACAGAGATTGTCCTATCAGCGGTATTTGCTGCTGAACCTGATGCTGCCTCGGCTGCTTCGGCTGCTGCTTCGGCTGCTGCATCGGCTGCTGCTTCGGCTGCTGCATCTGCTGCTGCATCGGCTGCTGCTTCGGCTGCTGCTTCGGCTGCTGCATCGGCTGCTGCATCTGCTTCGGCTGCTGCATCTGCATCGGCTGCTGCATCGGCTGCTGCATCTGCTTCGGCTGCTGCATCGGCTGCTGCATCGGCTGCTGCATCGGCTGCATCTGCTGCTGCATCGGCTGCATCTGCTTTTTCATCTGCTCCGGAACTGTAGACCCTTGTCCTTGAGTTTTACCCTGAACCTTGGTGCCACTGGCCTGATTACTGCCAATGAGCACCAGGCCAGGTCTGCTGGGATGCACACCGTGGTACTGAGAAACAGGTGGTTGGGTTTTGGACGTCGGCTGCCGATCTGCAGGTAGTTCTTTCAAAGTACCGTGTTTAGGGGGCTCAGACTTGAGAAGCCTGATGTCCGTGTCTTTCTTCGGCAGAGAGAAAGAGCTGAGATGGGATTGGGGAGTCTGATTTGGCGGGTTCGGCAATCGTTTAGTCTGATCATGGATTTGGGGAGCCCCAGAGCTCAGTCGTGAACCGTATGAAGAACTGAGACTGGAAATAGAGCTCGTCTGGCCTCGTGAAGAACCCAAAGCACTGCTTTTCACCTCCGCTGAGCTTGTTTGCAGTAGTTCTTGACTGCGTCTGCTACTATCGTAAGTGTCCATTTGCATCAGACTTCCACTACCACCACTGGCTCTCCCAATCTCATCTCCTGTATATTTGCCAGTATGTCCATAGTCTATCACTTTACTTAGCTGGTTAACAGCTGATGATGTTTCCTCCTGCCGCATCCTTGGCCCTCCAGAACTGCTCAAATGTTGACTGTCCAATCCACTCACAGTTCTGGGGGGTTGGGGTTTTGCCTGAGAGTCATCCGTGGCTTTCTTGGTCTTCTCAATGCGGATTTGCCTCAAGATGAACGGCAGGTTAGCGGGGGTGATCTGGTCTTCGGGGTAGGAGATGAGATGTTCCAAGTCCTCTTTCTGAAGTCCAAAGTGCACAAGGATGTTGGACGCTGATTCAGAGGTGTACTTGGGTCGACTGGACTCTGTAGGCGCAGGAGCAGGTTTATCTGGCCGTGGGTAGTCAAAACCATCACCTAAGCCTGGAATGGACTGCCTGTCACGTTCTCTTTCACTGGAGGCATTGAACCTACCGTTATCAGCGCTTGCATAGTTGGACGAAGCAGGTGGTGGATAAAATGTATTGTAATCTTCAGAAGGGGGCCTTTTGTAGAGTGATGACCAGTCCATTGAGCTACTGCCACTTTCAGCTCCTGATTGTCTTTGTCCTACAGAGGCAGAGATGGAGGGCATTGGGTAGGAGGACCTCCCTGTGCCTTGTGAGGAGAGAAACCCCTCGCTTGGAGGGCTGGTATAGCGAGGGCCCTGGTCTATGGGCGGATGTGTTGGTTGGTTAAGAAGCCTCACCTCCTCTCTGGCCCTGCTAATTTGCATGTCTATGGACCTCTCTATGTTCTCATCTATGTTGGCCCGACCCTGGTCAGGCCTGTAGCTCATGTTTGGGGGCAGCAGTGATGGGGACAGCAGTGATGGGAGCAGCAGTGATGGGGACAGCAGTGATGGGAGCATCGCCCTAGATTTGGTAGGAGCCGCAGGAGCCGCAGGAGAAGCTCCGGCAGGGCCGAAGCCAGACCCAGGAAGAAGGTGAGAGGCTACCCTCCGAGGGTCCCTCTCTGCCGGGATGTTAGGGAGTCCATACTGCCCCTGGGAGGAACTTTGGTTCCCATGGGCATAGGGGTTGTACATTGGATGGGACATGGCGTTTGTGATCTTCAGAAGGTTGAGGAGGTTGATCGCCGCTGCAGTTGGGGAGGGGGCTGTCGTGGGTATAAAGGGAGCAAGGGTGTTTGAATTGGTTGTCAAGTTCGACGGTCGGCTGCGGACGGTGAAAGCGTTGTTTATCTGCGTCAGTGCTAGCTGGGCTTTCAGTTGAGCCAGCAGCAGGAGCGCGCACCCTGGGAGGCCTCCGAGTAGGGGGCCAGTTAGGGGCCCTGCAGCAGGAGAGGGGGCACAACGCTCCGATACCAATGCAAAGCTGAAAAGTTAGGAAACAAAAAGGAAGGGGTTAATGAATGAGACAGGGCTGCAGCTTCTTGGGCGGGTCAAATCCTTCATCCGGTTGGTCCTGGCTCAACTTGTTCACTCTGGTCTTGTCGAACACATTTCATTCGTTGTTCTCTTCTAGGTCGACACTAGCGAGAAAGAACAGAGGAGGCAAAAGTACCAAGCATAGAAAAAGAGAAAACACAAGGTCACTGCTGTTAACAGGAAATACCAAAACAAACTTATTTATTTCCTATTAATGCTTATCTGTGAAGGAAAGAGTTGAGAGGCACCAGCAGACACGCAAAGCACGATGTAATAAGTCACAATTGCTATTTTTATTGCAGAATGTTACATTAAAACAAACTGATAGATCAACCTAAAAACACTGCGCTGAGTAATGGTAGTGAAAGACATTCGTAATAGGATTAAACTTCCCGTACTACAAGAGTCAGCAATATCTGACTTTCTTCTGAAGACGCATACAAAAAAAGTGTTTTCATTCCATAAGACAAACGCAGAGAATATTGTTTTGTAGCTGACAAATCCAATGTCAGAGTTTGGCAGATCTGGTACAAAACAGCAACTCTGAGACGTAGAAGCCATGTCGAACACTGAATACAAGGATATGTCGCTCATGATGCATTTTAACTAACCCTGACAGTAGCATCATGATTACCCAGGCCTAGATGAAGGCAACATTCAGACTGACTTTAGTTCTGCTTGATGTCGGTGATATAGCAGGGGTGATGGTGTAGAAGAAAATGCAGGAGACACAACACCAGCAATTTCCTCAGTCAAGGGTTGGGTTGGACAGGTGTAAAAATCTTCAAACCGGTATGATTTGAACCCAAACACCAGACTGTTGTTGAAGGCTACTTTTGGCTGGCTAATACATGTGGCTAAAATGCAAGAATGTGTCATTATAACAAATGCCAGTTTGCATTAAAGAGTCTCCCAACAACTGTTGTGCAATGAAATATTGGGCTACTAGTAATCCTGAACAGTCAGCTTAAAAAAGAAGGTGCGATACCGTTCCGATCAGTGTTTCCGCAAGAGCAGGGGGGGGGTGAGACGTCACGTCGTGTCACGTGACTTGAATTTTGAATTGAGCCGTCCCTTAAGTTATAGATACTATCTCTTTACATATTAGTGATGGGAACTCTTTCGGCTCCTAAACGGCTCTTTATTTTACCACGGAGCCTTAGTTTCGCTGCTGCGAGCCTCCGGCGCTCGCAGTTCACGCGTGTGGTCCACTGGCACCCCCCGCCAAGGCTCGCCGGCAGTACACTTTCCGTCACAGGAACATACTTTGCTGGTGGCGAAAATAATCCCATCAGACTCCTTTGCCCGTCCCTTTTCGTCATTTTAAGCGATAAAAACTCGATCTTCTCTCTAAAATTTTTGGGCGCCCTCGGCTCGAGTTCAGGACGTTCCGAGCTGAATAAGAGCGTCAAATGACGGCAAGACGCCACCCTGGCGGAAACGCTGGTTCCGATAAATATCAATAATTTAGAACATCGCGGGGAAATTCCTTCGACTAATTTTGAAGTTTTGGGGGAAGCCGGAAGTGACGTCAGTGCGGGAACGCTTCACTGTGCGGCAAGAGAGCCAAACACGGACAAAGTGTGTTGTCATGCGTAGAAATGGTGAATTACTGAGTTTAGGCACGTTAATAACGCTTTAATGAAGTTGACTACAGTATATTCTTATTAGTCAGTGCTTTCATGTCAATTCGGCGAACATAAACATAAATGATCGTGGTGAAGATGATGATTAAATTAGGATTAAAAATCGGTAGTGAGAGATGCATACTTGGCAACCTTGAGACCTCAGAAAACGGGAGCATTTCAAAACCACCGCGGGGGGAGGGTGCTAGTGGATCCCCGGAGCTGCTAGTGGATCGCCGGAGCTGTTAGATTAACATTAACATGCTTATTGTAGTTCTGAGTGCACTGCCTTGCGGCCTGTAGCACCATCCTCTTGATGGAACGTGTGGGCTGGATCAGGAAAGGAGTGGGCAGAGGGTCGAGTTGTCGATACTTGTTCTGTTTTTCTGTGACTATCTAGTTGCGCACGCTACTAAAGAGACGCGCTACCATGGAAACCAAACAATGGTGTAGCTGTAATAAAGTCAGAGTGGAAACAGTCCTGAGTAAATCTGATTTTATCAGAAATCGGGAGAGGGCTATGAAATCGGGAGTCTCCCGCGAAAATCGGGAGAGTTGGCAAGTATGGCCGGATGTGATATAAAAACAAATCGATTATTTTTGTAGTTGTAAACTCAAGTGGATGAAACTACATTTATTAGTGCTTTCATGTCAATTCGGCGAACATGATACATTAAATGATCGTGAGGATGATGATTAAAAATCATTTGTTTGAGCCGTCTGCATTTCCTGATGAAAAAACAAACCGATGCTTTTTGTAGTTGTAGTACACCAACATGGATTAAAGCGTTTTTCACCACAATGTTGGGAAATTAATGGATAAAATGCACGGATTATTATTATTATTATTATTCCCACTCCCGCAGCGAGGCTCCCCCCGTTGACAGTTTACGTGGGCTGGGTGCAGTGGCGGACTGGCCATCGAGACGAATCCCGATGGGCCGGTACCGAAGTGGGCCGGTCGGATAAGTCACTAGCACATCCCCCACTCCCCCCGTTGACAATTTACTAGCGGTGCCGTAGTGGGCCGGTCGAGAGTCCCGGGATGATTTTTAGTCCCAGTCCACCACTGTCTACATGACCGTATGATCGCCCATATTGACGCACCTAATTCCTAAACTTCTAACATAAACCGATCCTTCAGCCTCATGAGCTCTCAGACAAGTTCAACATTAAACTGTCATCATCGCTGTCTGCTGTGCGTTTGCATGCAGATGCTGGGATCCGGAACGGTGCAGCTGGAGCTCTTGGCCCGCAATTACATCACACATAATTTGGAGGGATTTGAAGAATCCCCAAGAAGATCAAGAATATGGTCAACATTGAAGGGGAGATTAATGGTTATCAAAGTACAAATATCCCAAATCAGTTCAGTGACGGTTTCAAGGGGACAATATTTACTAAAATGTATGGGTTTGGATGATGGGTGAAGCCCGTGTCACAGGCTCTTTAAATCAAACTGGTTTAAGTTTGCAAACAAGTCCATACCGGTAAATCTCGAAATCAACCCAACTTTACTATCAACAACAACATTTGATCTACCTGTACATTACATTTGACCATAGTTTGTCAGTGTGAGAATGCCCTTTTCCACTCAAAATAGCCAAATATAAGTCAATGCAAGTTGAGACACCATACAACACATCTTCAAATGACCCTAGGTTTAATTTAGATGACGCTTTTATCCAAAGCAGGTTTACAGATGGCAGAACACACACACACACACACACACAGTTGTGATCACACACTGCAACCTGCACATATGGGCTGCACAGAGGAGGAAGAAGTACTCAGATCTTGTACTTTACTTACAATTGTATTAAAATACAGTACTTGAGTAAATGTACGTGTGTACGCCTCTGATGGTGACGCAGCCGTTTGATATAAAATACAGGCCTGAGCACGACCGTTGGAGACGTTAAGACTGTCCAGATCTCATTTTAACACACAGAAAACACAACAAAACATCTGAAATGTTGTTATGTTTACTTCCTCGCGTTTATTATGGTCTAAAAAGTAAAAAAATAAAGATAAAATGGCTAAACTAGACCGGCGTGCTGCTGCTAGCCTAAAGCTAACAGCACGGCCCGGTTAATAACAACCGTTAAAGACGGTTTTTAAATGTACATGGTTAATAATCGAGTTTATTAAGCATTGTTTCGCTCCGGGTTTTATTATAATTCCGTGGTTTATTTCATACCTTCCGTTATTTGTGGATTTCTTGCGTCGCTGATGGGTGGAAACTCATCTTCGAGCTGTTAGCAGGCAGGAAATTCTATCAAGACGACTTCCTGTTTCGGTGTCGAAGCTTCAATATAAAAGCACGAGCGTTTGAAGGCGATGTGAGCACGAGGCAGTCAATTGAAGGTTTCATATTTAAAGTGCAGGGTCAGTGTATGTTTTGGTCATTAGATTTTCTTTTCACAAATGGATATTCAAAAACAAAAAACGACTGGATATTTGATTTTCATTTTCAAATTGAAAAATTGAAATACAAGGCGTTTTTCTTTATCATGGTCAAAAATGGATTTACTAAACTTAAAAAACGGGATGATTTCCATTTCCAACTTCTCAAAACAAAAAATAAATCACTAGAAAACAGAAACAAAAAACCCCCCGTTTTTTCATATTCTGCTACCGGAAGTTGTCTTTCAAAATAAGAGCGCAGATGAGGACGGTCAATCCGTGTATCTACGGTCCATTTGTTTTCACAACGAAAACAGCCAAGACACATATTGAGCCCAGAAAATGAATGTTATTAAGGGCTGTAAATATAATAGGCCTATGTCTAAAATGGACAACATTGTTAGGAGATTTAAACTATACAGCGATTCTGCACTGCGGTCAGCCGTCTCGAGTTTGTTATAATTTGTTCTGCCATTAGTTCTTCGTGAGATCGATCCTGTTGGACTCAGTAGGCTAGTAGTGAAACTACTCCCACAAGTACTATGAAGTAGCCTAGTACTTACTGTGTACTTTTTGACTAATCCTCTGTCAATTTCCCCTCCTGAGAACAAGAATGCATGTTTCTCTGCTATTTTGAATCAACGTTAAAAAACCTTTCTTCATGAGACTGATATTGTTGGACTGAGTATTTTAAGAGGATGACAGACATGATATCAGCAATACTTCCAGTCAGTAGTCCGGCAGCAGCATTTGTACCCCTTGGAAAGTCTTGCTCGCTATTTAAATTGACTTTGATTGAAGTTAATAACAATATTGATATTCTATAGATATATAGATATAGCATATTTGATGCAGTCTTTCTGAACACTTTTAAAATAAAATACTGCAAATGAGGAATATTTGTAATGTTCTGCACACATTTGAAAACACGTGGCAGCTTTATTAATACAGCAGTTGAAAAGATTTGTGGAAGGATACATTCTTCATGGGCTTCAATGGCTCTCTAGCTAAAGGGCGTGGTTGCTTGTATTATCCTCAGATAGGGGTTTGTTTAAATAACTAGTGACATTTTAATAAATATTGCAAAAAAAGGCATATATCCTGGCCGGCTTAGCCAGTGTGTATTTTTTCAAGCACCACAAGATTCATAGTTTATAAAATACAATTCTGGGCCATTGATTGTGTCATTTCTCCAAACACATACAGTAGAAATGCCTGTTTTGAAGCCTTACAATGGTGCAGGAAAAGGACTTTACATTGGGTTATACTTAAAGACAGGACTATTCAGTTAAGAGAAGAGAAAAAAGGAAAGAAAACTGTTATAATGGGTGATTTAACATGAATGACAGACATAATATGAGGTCCTTGGCACACATTGAGTGATCAGCATCAGGACAATATCATGGACACTGGAAGTGTGCTGGAGGCGTTGGGACTGATGGAAGGATGAGGCTGATGAGACTGAAGAATCTGCGAGGAACGAATTAGCGACTGAGAAATAGTTATATATTAAAAAACACCAGCATCATAAGAGGCCAACCAGAGTGACAGAGTGTGTCAGTGTGCTGAAGGATATTTGTGACCAGCTATCCAGGCCAGACTCTAAAGAAGTTCCAAGGTGTAAAAATGCTGCTGCCGGAGTATACTGGAAGTATTGCTGATATCATGTCTGTCATCCTCTTAAAATACTCTGTCCAACAATATCAGTCTCAGGAAGAAATGTTTTTTAACGCTTATTAAAAGAAAAACATGCATTCTTGTAGTCGGGAGGGGACATTGACAGAGGATTACTGGAAAAGTACACAGTAAGTACTTCATAGTACTTGTGGGGGTAGTTTCAAGGCAAGGCAAGTTTATTTATATAGCACTTTTCAACACAAGGCAATTCAAAGTGCTTTACAAAAAATGAAAGACATTAAGAAAATGGCATTTAAAATCAGTCATTAAAAAGAAAAGCTAATAAAATAAACATTAAAAGAAAAAGTACATGGATAAAAGTTACAGTGCAGTCAATTAAACATTAAAAGAAAAAGTACATGGATAAAAGTTACAGTGCAGTTTAAGATGTGAATAGTTCAATTAAAAGCAGCGACAAAAAGAAAAGTCTTCAGCCTGGATTTGAAAGTAGTCAGAGTTGCAGCGGACCTGCAGGTTTCTGGGAGTTTGTTCCAGATATTTGGAGCATAATAACTGAACGCTGCTTCTCCATGTTTAGTTCTGACTCTGGGGACAGAAAGCTGACCAGTCCCTGAAGACATGGGGCCTCATTTATAAAGGGATATACGCTCAAAAGATGGCGTACGCCAGTTGCTACGCAATGTTTGCGATTTATAAAATACTAACTTGACGGGAAAACGTGCGGTCCTCCACGCAAACTCTAACCCATGCGTACGCACTAAGCACAACAACGGGAGGGACGAGAAACTGCGACACCGTTGGCAGAAGGAAGAATGGAGAGAAATATGTGGAAATAATACCATCAATAAAATGTTACCTCTCATTTATCATATATGAAGAATTCATTTTCAAACATTGATTAAAGCCAATCTTAAAATGATTAAACAAACGCCTGTTTGAGACTCCTCAGTGCACACAAACACATAACTTGGAGAAATAAATAAATAAAACCACCTCGAATATGTTGTGTTAATGTTATGAAATGTTTTCTCATAAATGATGCGGTTTTGTATTTCTAGGTTGCACGAGCATGGTTTTATATACTACCATGTTTAATCATGTTTTATGCCGTTTGCTAAGACTTGATAAGTCGCTCATAAAACACAGGAGGTATGGAAACTAAGAACACCATATGTGGTAAATTGTACAGCTAATATAACACAACACATTAGTTGTATTTCCTTTAACTGGTGGATATAGAGTTGCTGCAGTGGAGACGCTGCGCACAGCTGATCGACAGCTGGGACACAAACCACCAAATACTAAAACATAATTCAGATCCAGTCGTCATGACTCCACTCCGGAGGGATTCCCCGATCATTTCTTAGTCTCTCATCAAGGGGGGGTCTCCTGTCCCCGGTACAAACACACTGCCTGAGGAAGGCTATGTGTATTGTTTTTGTCATGAACCTTTTTCGGGCCATTTATTTATTTATTTTGGTGACGATCCGACCTCCATGCTGCTACTCTGGTTCAAACTGCATCCACCAAACAATATGATTTATCTCGACCTCCCCAAAATAACCAGAACCTGACACGGTGTGAGATGTCTTTTTTAGCTGTTCTGTCGTCATTTCCTGCGATCTTCTTCATGCAGTCAGTCAGAATGAATGAATGGGCGTTTCTTTGACTATTTATAGGCAAATATGGGCGTTACGTGAACCCCGCAAAAGCTGCACCGCATTTCGAGTCGGTTGTGATTTATAAAGGGAAACCGGCGTAGGAAGTGCTGTACGCACTTTCCTCGCCGGTACGCAATGTTTTGTGAATCGGAAAATGTCGGAACATTTCTGTACCTATTTTTTGGATTTCTGCTACGTAAGCAACCTTCCCACGTGAATCCTACGCACGGCGTTATACATGAGGCCCCTGGTCACCCAGACGGCTGAGCTGACCGCAGTGCAGAATCTCTGTATAGTTGAAATCTCCTAACAATGTTGTCCATTTTAGAAATAGGCCTATTAGGCCTATATTTAGCCCTTAATAACATTCATTTTCTTGGCTCAAAGTGTGTCTTGGCCGTTTTCATTGTGATCGCTAAATTCCCCTTGTTTATAATAATCACAGTTCCTTCAACAGGATACTGTAGTGATTCAAAGTGTGATTTTAGCATAGTCTACGAGTGCTTTTGTTTTGAAATCACTTTCGTGAGTTTCGTCTGCGCTCTTATTTTGTAAGGTAACTTCCGGTAGCAGAATATGAAAAAACGGTAGTTTTTTTGTTTCTGTTTTCTAGTGATTTATTTTTTGTTTTGAGAAGTAGAAAATGAAAATCATCCCGTTTTTTAAGTTTAGTAAATCCCTTTTTGACCATGATAAAGAAAAACGCCTTGTATTTCAATTTTGGTTTTTCAATTTGAAAACGAAAATCAAATATCCAGTGGTTTTTTGTTTTTGAATATCCATTTGTGAAAAGAAAATCCAATGACCAAAACATACCGAGCAGTTTAATAAAACATATATTTAAAAAAATGCATTCCCTATGTCTTACTAAATTCACATTATTTTAAGTACTCGTTATTTAAAAAAAGTGAAAAGTTATACAATTTAATAAAGAAATCATAATAATAATATTGAAAAGTCTATGCATTTAATATTTCTTACTGTTATAAAAACAAATGTACACAGGTAGGCTAATGCATAATGGCCTATGGCATAATAATTGTTGGAATATCCATGAATTGTTAATGCCTTATATTTAAGCCACTGGTGCTGCATATGGTGAAGCACATTTTTTATTGTAATATAACATCATTTTTAAATGTATTTATATGAATTGCAACACTGTCTAAAGGGATTTCAATAAATACTGCACCAATGTACTGTTTAAACTTGTCTTCTTCATTTAATTTAACTACAACAGAAAATAAGATGAGGTGTGTTATTATAACCCTGCCAGACAGCGGCGCTATTCTCACATACATGCATGTTTTGTACCAAACACTGCACAGGAACCGCACTTTTATGACAAACTTTAAAAGAGTAGTGTTGATGTATTTCATCGCTAGATATTTTTGCAAGGCTATCCTTAGTGATATTTCATCCATAGATGTGAAGTTCAACTCATAGCCTATGTGTGTACAATATTGGTAGTGTTAAGTAAACCCAAATAGAATAAACCCTCATCCTGCAATTAAAAACGTGAATTAAAGAGGATTTTGTTGCAACAAGCCAATCGAGTTCAAAATCACAATGTGACTCACACCGAGACGCATCCCTA